GGGGTTGTTGCTTTTTTTTTCACTGTTGTTTGCTGTTCATAGAGTTTGAAATAGCCTTCACCCTGCCCACAGCCCATTAAATAAACTAAACCTAAAACTTATCTCTACAACTGTAAAGTTATTATTCTCTGTGCTGTTTTGTGTGTGTCTGTGCTTTAGGCCTAGATCTACTCGTGTAGCACACCTGAGGGGATGAGAATAGCGAGACACAGGCTATTCTCTCCAGAATTATAGCCACTTTCCCAGAGAAAAGGTCAAACTTAACTACACAGTACATGTGACCGTCCAATACCATCCGATTTCCAGAACTGGACAAAGTTGCAAAATTACAGCTTTCTATTATATGTGCAGATACAATCTTTTCTGTGTATCTGCACCTATGGTATGTCGTTTATGTTCCAAAAGTTCAACAGATTTTGTAGTGCCGTTTTTTTTACATTTATTTTTTTTCGTTCACTCTTGTCCAAAAATATTTACAATTTAGCATTGCCGACTTAAGCACGTCTAACGAAATAAACAGACAAGTTACAATGTCCGTTCTTTTTTGAATCTCAAGAGCAGAAATGCATGCTTTTGGTGCATTAAATGATAATTACCATAAATACAAGGATTCACCTAAAATTTTAGGTTGAACAGTACCAGAAATCAACTCAGTCCAGATAGAGCGGCGACGGGGAGCTGACCCCCGTGACCCGGAAGTGATAAGGCGCTCGGCAGGGAACCCAAAAATAGACCAGACATTTTATATAGAGTAAAATACGTCGGTACCCATTTTTGGGTCATACTTGTAGGGGGAAAAGGTCAGGATACCAGCTGGAGGAGAAATACATTCTTGAAAGAGACACTTGAACTTTCTCTTTAATAAAAACTACCTCCCAACTGCCTTACGAATCATGCCTCTATGACTGGTATTCTTACAATACAACAAATGGACAAAATGAAAGTTTCTTTGAACTTGTGTTTTTGTTTGTTTTTCAGACAAAAAAAGACAAGGAATAACCATGGCCGGTGATTTCGTTCCCGAGTCTGAGCTGAATCTCAAGGGCTGGCAAAGATACTTCAACACTTACACACTGAGAGGGAGATTCAATGTAAGTTATTGGACACTTTTATTTTATGTTGATGATGTTTTTAATTTAGGAGCAGCACCTGTTTCCTTCTGGGTAGAAGAGTCACCCACTACAGAGGCAGCACATGTGCCAGTCACATTGCTGATTATGATGAGGTGGGCTGTTGGCTTCAATGTTTTGCGTGAATAGAAAGCTGCCTTTCTACTGTCCTCACTCTTAATAGTATCGAATTGGAGTGACTTCCTTTTCAACAATTTACCACTGCAAGTTGAGATTGTGAGTGATTTATATCACATTTATATATATATATAGGATGTTGGCAGCTGTCCCACATATTGACTCAGCAAGCTAGGGATCGTTTCATGCAGAAAGCCCAAAGGCCATCTCATCAAGTTTTGGATGAAAGGAAATAGCTCATTATAGTTTGATTGTCATCTAGTCATGTTAGAATCATTTCCCTGAAGATGGGCAGTCAGTGCTATGTAACAAAAGACTATATTAAAACCTTGTTATACTGCCAGCCCTGCTATATATATGGCGAACTTCATGTTCATCCCAAGTTTGTTGGTATAACGCTGTTTGACTCTACCTTATGTGTAAACACTGGGTATTTATTAACCCACACAATACCATAACAGCCGCTTCCGTTTCATAAGCCTAGTACCATTACGGCCAAGACCAGCCGGCGCTAGTGGCTTCTAGGGAAGTGTACACACTTGGTAGTCATCGTATTTAATTTCACCTGCAGTTTTACAAATTGGAAAAATGATATCATTCTTTACTTGAGAGCAGCAGGGACATAACTCTGGAAATTTTAGTTTCAATTCAATATATTATGTAAACAAAGTGCAGTTCAAACTGGTGACGCAAGCTATGGTCAAGGGTTCTTCGCAAGCAGCCCACATGGTGTTCAGACTGATAGGTGAACTTTTGGATAATTTTAGTGAAAATATCTGTACTGGTGGAGAAAACCCACAGAATGGTAGCAATGGAAGTGTGAAAGTGACATTGATGATGATCTACTTGTGCCTTTGGAGGGTGATTCAGACAATGAGAATGAGGTCGTTGAAGAGCATATGACTACGACTATGACTCAGCTGATTTTATCTTCAATTATGAAATACAGTCAACACACATAGTAAAAAAGCAATTTTTAAATTAAAATTTATTCATTTGTAAAGAACTTGTTTCAAGATTATTTTTTTAAATCAATGGATTGGTTATTTTATAATGATTTTTCAAAAATACCCACAACATCGCAAACATGGATTTATTCCCCTTTGCGTGGTCTTGGGCCATCTTGTTACTGGAAATCCAGTGGTACTGAGTGGGTTAAATTTTAAAATCTAGGAAGAGAAGGAATGGGGGGGGGGGGGGGGGGGGGGGGAGAGCTTTCTCATGTTGTTCCCATTTTCTTTTGTTTTCAAATTGCTTGGAATTGGGAGAAAAAGAAGCATATATTTAGCTGTTATTTTTAAAAAATCTTTAATGTTACTTCCTCAGACTTGGAATCCTTTTAATCATTTATTTATAACATGGTGAAAATGTTTTTTTCCTCTTTTTTCCAGTGGGTTGCAGCAACATATGGATCAGTCTTTGGAACAGTTATATTATACAAGTTGCTCAAAGGGAAGCCCAAAGCTGTTGCTAGTAAATAGGATGCCAGTTTCTTGTTTCAGCTGTGTGATGTACTTTTAGTAGTATGTTGTCTTTAAATGTGGGTGTGTAATTTGAGAGAGTATAACATGTTGAAGTGTCTTTATGATAAGTTTGAACAGATTTGTGTCCTTAGGCCAAAGGTTAGTTGTCCTCAACAAGGAAGTAACCTTATAAAATTTCGTCACATTTTTGGTGAAAATTGTTTTGTACACTTATTATAAAAACAACCACCAGACAGAATGGAGTAATAAACATCTACCCTGATCATTTGCTTATATTCTGATTTCTGTTTTCTTTCTTTTTATAATTTTATTTTATGTTTGTGGACTATTAGATGTAGAGTGATGTTAGAGACAGAGGTGACCTGTTAGTGAAAATGGCACAATGCTCACTTCCTGAGAACATGGCACAATATGATCCATTTGTGGTTACAATTCCTGTTTTCCTTACTTTCCTGGCATAATATGGTATGTTGTGTAACCAAGATGTTGCTGCACAATATGATTTCTCTTATGTTCATCATCTTCAGTGTAGCTTTTTGTGAATAATCTGTAGCTGAAAGGACAGTAAAACCCTGAAAACATGAACTTCTCAGGGCGAGAACATTTCTTTGTGTTAAACAGATTTCATTTTAAGGGAAGTTGCGATGCATAGAATTAAGGGGGGGGGGGGGGATTTGAAATTTGTAGTTAGAGAAATCATGTGTTAAATGGCTACATGTGAAACAAAGTCTACAGTTGACTATGGATGAGTTGAAGTCATCAGTAGAGTGAACAATGATCTACTCAACCATTGGTTGTGCTCCCCTCACCATTTCAGTTAAGCACTGTGTAGGACTATTGTGTCGATCGTGCTCTACGTGGTAAAATATCACTGGTATCAGAACTGATGGTATTAAAAAAAGATTCAGCCATTGCATGCCTGCTTGCAGCTGGAGGGTAAAAAAAAAAGAAAGCCGTTCAACTCAAGTAATAAATATATGGGGATTCAGTTGACATTTGAGTTTCCCCAACATAACCGTTTTACTTATTATGTTTTATTTTTATACATGTTACTTTATGTACAAGTAAAGAAGGAAAGGTGCTGGGACCGGAAAAAAAAAGATCAACTCGAGCTACGTCAAAACAAGTGCTGTCTTGTCCTATCTCCATTAAAAAAAATTTTATAGTGAAAATGTGAGTTCTTCTTAAGCTCACTCTTTGTTATGAACTATTTTCACTGTTTAAAAAAATGGAGATATGACAAGAAAGCACTGAGGTCGCGAAGTGTAGTTGACTGAATACAGTAGAACACGGCTATAGCGGGACTTTTGGTCTGAAATGAGAAAAGCTATGGTTACAAAATGCGTACAGCAGCTCACACACGCACAGGCCAATGGATGCAAGCTATATTCGACGTGCCTTGCTTCAAGCCTTGGCCAGTCAGGAGTTATTTTTTAACACACTCATCAGTCAGGCCAGGGGATATCGCCATTTTAGGTGGTTAGTTTACACAGTTGGCCTATGACGGAGCCCGATTTTCGATATTTAGAAAAATGTAGTTGACAAAAAATTCCCATCCTTCTTTGGCCTTTGTGATTATTCCACTGAGAAACAAAACAAATCTGCAGAAGTGCCGGAAGTGATATTTCACGAGGTGCATTTTGCTTTGAGAGTAAAGATCTAGATCTAGGCCTTGTAATTTTTTGCATCTCTCAAGATTTATTGCTCCCTTCCAGTAGAGTGTAAAAATATAGTAGGCCAATGACTTTCAGTTGATGTCAATGCACTGATCATTCTTTTCATCGAAAGGGGGCCCAGCTAGTATTATATTATATTAATGGTGAATTTGATGCTGATCACAAATTTGAAGTAAGAAAAGACCTTTAAGTATATAATTATAATACGCATCAAAAAAAAAAAAAAGCTTTTTACCCCACTAGTCAACTCTACCATTGGTTGGTGGTAGTTCAAGTTCAAACATTTGGCGTAGCCTAAATTTCTGGGCCTGCGCTTGCCTCATGAAATTTTGGCCACACTTGCAGTGTTTTTGTTTCTCTATACTATGGTTTTGGAGGTTCAGGTCTAGATCCCTGCATGCATGGGGGCACTAACCTGAAGGCACAATTTAGATTTTAAATTAGGTGGGCTAGCTTGAGATGAGTGGGGTATGGTGGTATACTAGCAGACAGACAAGAATTAATCGATAAAAAACCTCAATAAATTGGGATTGACCCCATGTCTTCCGCTGCAAAGACCCTTACTCCGTAATCGATTCGGGTGAGAAAAACTAAAACGATTGATAAATTAAAAAAAATAACCATACCTGTAAATGTAAAGAGGAACATCTCTTCGATTTTAAATTCTGCCTACATATATATATATATGCGTTTCGGATGTGGAAAGTGTTTTAGTAGAGATACAGTCACCTCACATATCCGCCTCCTCCACCTGGCTACTGGACAATGAAACAACAGGCTTGTCTAGACAAAGTAGATGTAAACCTATGTAATGAATTGTGTGCAGGTCTATGGAAATATGTTGCTGTTTGCTAAACCTTACATTGTGATGCACCCGAGATTCATTGTGGTCAATTGTAGTAAATTTATCCTTCGTTTGAGATGATTTTGGGAGGTTCCCGATTGTTGAGCTGTAGTTGTAAAAAAAACTCTTCAATCAACTAGCATGATCATGGACACATTTAATTTATTCTTTCTTCTTTCTTTCAGCTCTTACTTTCAACTGATTTAACAAGGCAATTTATCTTCATATTAAATTAAATTAGATCTACTTTCAATGTAGCCTAATGGGAACTATCAAAATCTGGCACAGAAGAAAATCCGGTGGCCTCCCAGATTTTAGTTTAACCTCTCCATTGTATTCTTTTTCACACATCAACAGTACATTAGTCTCTGCCTAACCGCACGGTGCTCGGGAGGGCTCTTTAGTGTGTGTTTATACAGAGCATGCGTTTACATGAACCTGTGCAAAGGGAGGAAGGGACACCGTCATCTCATTGCCCTGATATTCTAGTGACCTCCTTTTGGGGTGGGGGGTCACTTTGGCAGATAATGTGACGACACATGGCTGTTTTGACTTTGTGGAGGATTCCCCAACTGCCGTTAAGAATACAAAGGTGTTGAATTGGGGGGAGGGGGTAGGGGGGGGGAGACAGGCTCAATGTAATGATGTGCGCCATAAAATGTCGGGAACGGATAGCATAAGAAGAGGAATCTGTTGGTGATATTCATAGAGATGACTGCGCAGCCACGTGGCTTTGCAAGCGACCACCCGCGACTGCAAATTCATGGACGACATCAGAATAATAGATCTCTACATTCAGAGAAACATTTGTGAGGCATCGTGGTGAAATCAAGTGCTCCTCAACCCCTAGTAAGTCCAATTTAAAAAACACTGTTATGTGTTGATTTTACGGAAAAATGTTGATAAAAAGCACTAAAAATGTAAATTGCCTGTTTCCAAGGACTCATAAGCTATGGAGGTCACCAAACTTTGGTGGCCATTTTCTCGATAATTATACTTCTGAAACCAGGCGACCCCTCCTTCTTCAATCGCAAATATCTTGACTTCTATTTAAGGTAAATGGATATTTTTTTATCAAAAGAAAAGCAAATGAATAACCTTTAAGATAATACCAATAACTCCATATGCCCAAATATTGACGAGCACCTGATTCCACCTCGTCACGACACATTTCTCTAGTGATTTGTTGAACAAGTACATTATAGGTTCTTCGAGCACAGCTGATTCGGCTTACTTAACTAATCTTTAATCCTATAGAGGCCTATCTAGTGTTTTACAGTATAGCATTCACGCGTATTGCGCATCATAGGCCTAGATCTAACTAAACATTACACGCAGTCAGAAACCTTCTCTCAAAGATGCATTTCCAGTGACCAATCAAAACACATTTCAGTCCCTCCAACCCTACAACATTTCACCGACCAGTCGTAGACCTATGTGTTTGTGGAAAGTAGGGTGTGAAAACGAAGTCTGTCACTCTCTTTTTTTCAGCGTGAAGGGCAGTCTAACCAAAAATCACGTTGTCTTGGCTTGTCTTATGCAAGCTATGTAGGCAGCAGCGAAAATTTCCCCTTGTCAAGTTTTACCTGTCGGCGTGTTTCGTGGATTGGAGCGTGCACTTACAAGGAGTGACCGTGCATTTGTACGTCTAAATTATGTGGCAAAAGTAAAAAAAACTTGTCATGGCGAAAGCGTGCGTTTGGGCGGAGCGTGCTTTTGTATGGCGTGCGTTTAGGAGGAGACTACTGGACACACATTAACAGTCCACCAAATAACCAGTTTGAGAATTTGTCACATGAAATATTTATTGATAAAACAATAATATCACAGCTGAAAGGTGTTTTCTTTTAAAAGACAACTTCCATTAAATGTCTCAAAATGTTTGCTATAGAGACAACACAACTTGAGGAGCTTGAAAAATCATAGGAAGAATCATTATTGAAAGAAAAGAGAACAAGCCAAATGCAAAACTGTAGCTTGTATATTGAGCCAGGGTCCCTACTGCAGCTGAGAAAAATAATTTTCCGATGACTTCGGTAGTTGTTAACATTGTGTAGTAACTGGCTCTGTACTTTTGAGGGGCTTTCTGAGACAGCTGCATGACCAATGTAAAGGTGCAGGTTGTGACAGCCCCGCCAAAGAAAAACAGCACCATGAGGAAGAAAATGCAGCTCCCTGTGAATAGAAATAAGTATAAGGATGTAATGAGTTCATGGAACTCAAGCTCAAACAAAGGCAGGCTCAAACCTGCATAGAAAAATATGTAAAATAAAATACAGGGAATTTCAGACACGCTGAACACTCAAACTCGGTGAAAGTGAAAATAAAAGAATCCCCCCCCCCCCCCCCCTTTAAAAAAAAAGAAATTAATTAAAATTAGAATTTAAATTAAAATACCCCATATTCACTGAACGAACAGGTAAATGAGCAAATTCGAACTAAACAAGTCGTCTGCAATGATATAATAATGTGGCTTCGCGCCTTTTTTTTCCAGTAACAAAAATCAAACTTTACTGTATTCAAAGCGACAATTGATTGCTCTGCACTTTGGATCATTACACATACACAATTAATAATATACACAATTAGGCTACTGCGTACTGGTGCAAAACATTGTATTATTTAGTTTTAGTATGAGTTTTAAGGCACTTGCAACTCAATAAGGTCATTTAAGTGCCGAAGATTAGAGGTGTTATAAGAGAGTAACAAACATAAAAAAGAAGGAGGAGAAATAAGAACGATAGATGTTTGATAGGCAAGAAGGAGCAAACCACACCAGAGCACCCGCCAACCACCCACAAAACATTTTATACTGGTACCGTACTGCAATTGATCAGAGATGTAAAGCCATCTTGTGTAACCAATCAGAGGTCTTCATTCACACCAACATATACATTGTTGACATTTGTCTTAGTGTGTTCCTAAGTTGGGGGAGGTCAGACAGGCGGCCAGCACATGTTCAGCTCCGTGCGTGTATGTGTGTGTGTCTATGCAGGGGAGGGAGAATTAGCATTTCGGGAATGGGTGTCAAAAAGAGAGATGCAACAGAGTCATAAATATTATCCCATGGCGACTGAACACTGATAGATATAAAGTGGCCCCAGATAACAGGACTTCACTTGACTCCCTGGGATTATGTAGTAAAGAGGTATAAGACAAGAGGTAATGCAACTGATCCAGTGTTACAAATTAGTAGCCTACAAGAGACAAGGGAATACATTGAAAGGAGCCTTTTGAAATTTGGTGAGCAGTACGCAGGGATTTGGTGAAAAGAAATGTAAACATTTTCCTCATGTGTCACGTCTTATGTCTCGAAGAAATCAACATACTGTCAGTGTCATTCCACACAATTGAGTAGCCTACATAATTTTGGGAAATTTTGAGAAAATTAAAGAACAGATCGCCTAAAACAGGCATTTTGGGATTTTTCAATTAAAAATTAGGAAAGACGTACCGGTAATGGAACTTTTTTGTAATATGATGTATTGTATGCTGATGCCAGTAAATTTTGTGCATGAGAATGTATGTGGGATTGGGAGAAGTGTGTGTGTGTGTGTATTTGTGTGTGTGTATTTGTGCATGTGAGTGTGTGTGTGTGTGTGTGTTGCTAAACCGTCTCTTAATGTGCATTTTCCATCCTTTGATTTGTCCGTTAAGTTCACATTGAGAGATAATTCTGCATTGTACAGAGTGGCTAAGAGACCTCTGTGATTAGGCGCTATAGATTATATAAAGTCCCATTTTAGTCAAACCCCGTTATACCACCTACCTAGGACGAGCATAAAGTTGGCAGTACAGCAGGGATGGCAGTACAATGTGATACCACTGATTGCCACCTTGACTCGTGGTAGACTGGTACAGATTAAATTTATGAGATAAAGTGTGGCCAGTCTTGCCTCATCTAGATCTATCTTGCTCGATTGCTATGAGCACGGACAGAATATGAAGTAACTAATTACGTGTATAGCTCCAGTTTAACTTGAAGTATTCAAATTGAAAGAAGTTAGGATCAGAAGCTAGGCTGCAGCCTAGGTGTCAAGGACCCTGTAGACATACCGGTTTTTAAAAACCTGATACTCGTCAGTCCTTGGGCCGCCTCAGACCTAACATGTAAATTTGAGAATGAATCCCCACAATATAAAAATAAAAGCCTCACAGGCGCCTGCTAGCCATCTAGGTCATCAGGGTGATATCTCTCGATGCCAGATATTTTGCTCTCAAGCCGAGTTGGCAGCTCTTTTGAAGTTTCTCCAGGCAAAATTAAAACTTCATTCCACTTTTTAAAAAAAATATTGGCCTAAGCCTTAAAATAATAGCATTTCAAAATTAGTGTAAATCAAGAAAAAATCGGCAAGTACCTTGAAATAGGTCCATCTTGCAGAGACGTGTGTGTGAAGTAGATTATCAAGCAGCCACTATGTGGTGCCATGCCCTGTGTGTAGTGTGTACCTCTGGCGGCCAATTTGCTGGCAGTACAGTGAGGCAAATTTACGTTAGTTAAATAAGGACAGTACAACTTAGACAGTAGGCGGATGGCGGTGTAAAGATGGAAATACAATGTGTAGGCCTATAGGCGTTCATTTTTGTACATTGGCAAAACCTGGAGGTAAACAAGGCTGGCAGTACAACGAGGTTTGACTGTATTATTATTATTATTATGTCCTTATTATTAAAACATTGGCTTCTGGAAACCCCTAGAAATAGATATATGGGCATTTGCAGAATGATGCTCAAGATAACAATTTATCAATTCATCAGTATTTTCATTGGAGACTGACAAGAAATGAAGTCACTAGCATAAAGTTTGATGATCTGAGGATACTTGCCATTCACAAAAGGAAAGGAACTGCTCCACAATAAGACTGACAGCCAAATGAATAATACAGATACAGTCCTTGAAGTAAGTTGAATTTGCAAAGAAGTTGTCATTGACCTAAAACAATAAAAAAAAAAAAAAAAAAGCATGCTGTGTCACTCAAAAGAATTCACCTGATACGACCCTATACCATGATAAATGAATAAATTATGGTCCATATAATGTTAACCTTATAATATAAGTTATACAGATTAAAACTCTGATAAGTATGTGAACTTCATGACGGGACAAGAGAACTTATGTGAAGCAAATTTCATGCTAAGCAAAGAACTAATTATGAAAAGAACCAAAAAAAGGAAGGCATCTCCTTTATAATATATAAGTATTTGTTGCAGCCAAAAACTGATAAGATCACAATTGTGTAATTTGAGTTGTTTATGATAGGTGCCAACTTCGGGAAACCTTACTTTCAATTTCAAATGGACACATTGACCACACAGAGAATGAGGATCAACATTTAAAGTGTAGCGGTCAGGCGCTTGAGTTCGATTCCCGGGTGGGAAAAATTTATTGAGTATTTAGAGTCTTTCTGCTGGGACGTTGTATTCCTCTCAACTCTTAGCCTAGATTGGCCTGGACAGGCAGGGTCCAAGCCTACCATCTTAATGATCTAAATTGAGCTGCTGGGGTGCAATACACCTACATAGAACAGAATGAGGTTCAAGAGAGGCATTAATATGAAACCCAAAGGGTCCTAAAATCTGTTTATGCAGAAGACTAAGAATGTAAGGAAATATTTTACTCACAGATTGAAATGTCTACTTATGTGCACATCTAAGCGTTAATCAAAAGAGTGTATATATAATGCATGCACTATGTACATTCACTTGTGTTTTGTGTTGAAATAAAGTGCCCAGAGCTGTATTGCACAAGAGTGGGCGCTATATTATCATCAATATATATATATATATCATTATCTTTTCAAGACAAGGCCTGGCATTATATTTCAGACCAATCACACACTACAGTGGAAACTTGATATAACAGGGATGGTGGGACCAGAGAAAAAGTCCTGTTATATCAGATCCCTGTTAAATCAGTAATGCAAGGGAAGCAAGCATTAGTGGACTAATCCAGCTGTATTTATTCATGGGTAGTTTCCCTTGCCACAAGCACTCGTGGCCATGTGGCAGGCCTGCGCATGACACATTATGCATGCGTGTAGCTAGGCTTAGGGCTAGATCGAAGTCTGTAGCACACCGCAGCCCTCTCTCGCTTCACCCGTTGCGGGCGCTTGCAGTGGCATGGCTTGCGTGGGCTTGCTCCATCACTGCATTACTCTCTCTCTCTCTCTCTCTCTCTCTCTCTCTTACTTTTTACACATTGTTAACGAGCCTTTGTCCCTGCTATCCGATTGGGCTCTGATGAGGCCTTGAACTTATTGCCGATAACTTTTAATAGAGACAAAGAGTAGTAAAAAGCGGGGATTTTAAAAATCCCTGTTATTACCGGAACCCTGTTATTGTCGCGCCTGTTATATATGGTTTCCACTGTATAAAAAAACCTGTGCATAGTATGACATACACTTCTGTCTACATGATAATATAATCAAACGTTTTACTAACATCTTAATTAGAACATAATGAACTTACGAGGTAAATATAAAGCCTCCTACAGCAGAGCCAAGAATTGACATGCCTTGTCCAACCATACCTGTCCAGAAACCAACATCATGTGCATGTACACCCTCATCTAACAGGAAAAGTGGAAGTAAATTTGTGACACCATTTTCACCTGTTGAAGAAAATACAAGCAAAGCTACATTGTTCATATTACTTTGTAATTCGAAAAGATTCTTAAAGGTCATATTATGGTTAGTAAGAGTATGATTGAACGTTCACAACCTTCTTCTCCTATCCCGTAGACTGGATGTCCGCCGGGGTGCTTTTGAATATTTGGCCACCAGCTTCCTCCACTCCTTCCGGTCTTCAGCTTTTCTGAGAGCGTCTTTGAGTTCAAGGCCAGTTCATTCTTTTTATGAATGAATGGTAAAAGTACAGTACAACAAAAGCTTAGTAATAATAGATTGTTGATATTGACCTGGTAAGTATTATCTGCTCCAAAAACATGAATATGTGATAATAATCAGAAGCCCTCTCTTTCTCAATTAGTGAACTGATCAGGTTGCCCTCCTCTTTAATCAAACTGAGAGTTAAACTCAAACAAACACACACACACAATAGACACAAAATTAAATTGACTACACAAGAAGAAGCATTAGAATTAATTAGTTCAATCGTTTCAAAATCAAGATGACACTATCCAAGAATCCGGGGAAAAGAAGCCACGACTCTGATGGGCTTACATGACATTCAGTAGCAAAGAACAACTGAGCTTCAAGCCTTCCCAAATTTATTCTTTTTCATAAAACGACACACTTCATTTGAATTCAATTTTTCAAAAAATTAACAACAGGAACAAGTGCCACAAGTGAGGTTGAATAAGTTAACTGATCACACCCATATATTATGTATTGAATTGTGATGAGCCACACAATCTGTACATTGAAAACAAAGAAGGCACAAGGGAAAAACCAGCGATGTCAGGTTTTTAGCAGTTTCGAGATAATTGAAAAATAAACTTTAAAGACTTGACTTATAAATACTCCTTTTCTGCTACAATGATCTCTCCACTGTTTACAGTGACTTCAATTATGACCATTTGTGTGGATGAGACATTTTCACAGTTCTCATGTTATGGGTGTTGCAGTGAGAGCAGAACAGAAAAATTATGTAGCAAACTGACAGTGCTGGTTTTTCCCTTGTAAGCTGTTGGCAAGGTCTCCATCTTCAAGGAAGTCAATATGAATTGTGAGTTTCTTAACTCATTTGTGAATATAATTAATATAAACAAAACTAAATGATTCAAACAAGAAAATTGTACACCATTTTGTAATATAATTTACTTTGTTTATTGTTATTTTATCTAATATTCATGCTTGGATGACGACTCTGAGTCATCAGACTCTTGTGTGGCACTTGGTCCTCCTGCATGGGGCTATTCGGAGAAAAGCTGTCAGGCCAGAACACCTTTAAGACCTTCATGTCTGCATATTTGGCAGCTTTGATTGTCAGTGGGCTGTTATAGAGGGGTTTCAGAGGCTGGAGTCTGGCAGCACGCTTCTTTTCCACTGGCTTCATTATGATTGTTGTGCCAAACGGACCATTCCAGCCCTCTCTATTCTGCAGTAGCTGTCAAAAGGCCTGTGAGATGCAGATTTCAAGAAGAGGTCAAGTGGGTATAAGGCAGAAGGCACGGTTGTACAGTTTAAGATTTTCTGGAATACGGCTTGTGTCATCCCCACTATCTGGAGCAACGAGGGTTTCTCGAATTGTTCCACCCAACTGGCTGGCATATCTACAGTGACCATCTCATTCACCACTGCCATGTCTCTGTCGCATTCCATGTAGCTATAGGCTGTGACCTCTCACTGGAAATGAGATTTCCACTTATTTTCGTACCTTTCCTGGTGGACAACAACATGACAGAGAAACCAGATCACTGTCTAATTCTTGTCCCGGCCTGCACACAAGTTACATTGCTGGCAGAATGTCAATAAAGTTAGTAGCAGCATGCTGGCCATATCGTCTCCACCCTTTTTGCCGACAGTTTCGTAACAGTACAGGTGTATTGTTTCACCACTTAGAGAGTAGATTCTAAAGGAGAAGAAAGGTAGCTGCCAACAATTGTACAAATTGCTTTCTGAGATGTTTGGGCAGCCCAAGTTCTTCGAAAAATCAAAGATTAACGTAACATGGGTGTCGAAGAATGATTTTCCAGTTTAGCAGCGCATAAGAACAGTGCGGAGATTCGAGCCTCAGCTCAGTCCGACGCTGTGTCCTTAGGAAAGGCAATTTACTCATACATGACTTTCTCATTTTGCTCGGTCGTTTCGGGAATGGACTTAAACCCAGAGGTCCAGCCTCTTAAATAACCTAATAGTGTTGACAGGGGCATTAAACCTATACCATTTCACCATTTTTCATTGAAATATGAACACTGATTGGTCACAAAGGGACGCAACAAAGAAACGTATGCTTGACACCGCTAGTTTTTCCGTTGTTAAGATCCTTACATCGCTGGTTCTTCCATTGTGGGCTATATTTTCTAACTTTCACGGAGACCGGCAGTGCTGGTTTCTCCATATACATATATAACATGGAATAAAGCAGACCCAGCCAAGCATCATGCTGGGACAATACTTTTGCTTTTACTTGTTCATCGACTTTAAGCGTCGAGGGGAGATGCAGTTTTCTATTACAGGCCAGCTCCGCAGCTCTTTCAGTTGTGATGTTATGTTTTCTTAGGGTTTCCTTGACACCCTCGATCCACCTTTTGCGTGGCCTTCCTCTTCCTTTACAGCCTGAGTGCTTGGTGTTGTAGGCTCTTGAGGCTGGCTGGTCAGGTGACATGCGTAACAGGTGGCCAAACCATTTTATCCTCTTTCTTTCTATGTAACGCAGGCAGGACTCAGTGCCAGATAGCTGCTCTTACTTCTTTATTTCTCTGCCTGTCTCGTCTTGTGGTGTTAAGGGTTTTGCGGAGACATTTAATTTCGCATGCAGTGATTTTGCTTTCATGGGTTTTGCTTTAAAGTCCAGGTCTGGCACTCATAACATAATGTTGGTTTGAATATTAAGGTGATAAGCTGTCTCTTTGTGTCCATGGAGATGTGTGGATGAGACAGGAGCCTAGGGGTGCGAGCTGGTAGGTGACAGCGTTGGCTTTTTGAGTTCGCATTTCTATTTCTCTGTCTATGGACCCGTCTTCAGAAAAAGTGCTGCCAAGATATTTAAACTTCTTCACCTGTTTCAGTTGTTTATTATTGACATGGAAATACAGGGACTATGGTATCGGCTCACTTTCATAACTTCTGTTTTTGATGTGCTCACTTTCATGTTGAATTTCTCACAGATGTTGTTGAGTTCGGTAGAGTGATTTTGGAGGCTTTGTTGGTCATGATGAATTTATAAAAGACATTGGTCATCTGCGAACAGAAATTCATTTAGGCTTTTTGGGCTTTGGTTTGCGTCTTGCGTTATTGTGTCCATATATATTATAAACAGGAGTGAGATAGAACACATCCCTGTCGTACTCCAGATCTTACTTGGAACCAGTCTGTATTGCCTTCCTTCGTACTTACTGAGCTTCTCTGCTGTTGGTATATAGAGCTCTGACATTATCTAACATTTGTCCTCTGACACCATACTTTTGAGTGTCTTCCAGAGCTTTGCATGGTCTACTATGTCAAAGCCTTCTCCTGGTCTATAAAGACGATTTTGGATTCTTTGTTGTGTTCGATTGTTTTCCCGCATTCTGTCGTAATGCAAATACAGCATCCGTGCATCCTCTTCCCTTTCGAAATCCAAACTGAGCTTTACTCAGATTTCTCTTTACAATAGGTCTTATGCACTGCTCTAGTATCTTTGCATACATTTTCCCTGAGTGGCTTAACAAGGAGATGCCTCTGTATGTTGTGCAGTCGCGTTTGTTGCCTTTTTCTCCCCATAATGGTACCACTATGGCTTTCTGCCAGTCTTCTGGGCATTTTTTTTTGCTCCCAGGCTCTGTTGAAAATAATTACCCAGAAAATGAAAAAAAACTGACATCGCTGGTTTTTCCCTTGTGTGCCTTCATATATGAACCCTAAGATCACCCGCCAAAAGGGTACTTTTGTTCAAAGAATAAATTCATCAAAGTTTTGCAAACACAACATGCTTCATTACCTCTTTCCATTTTTATCTCTTTCACCTTTCTTTTTCACAGTTAATCTATTACGCACATAGCACACACGTGAATTTTGAAACACACACATGGTAAATAGCTTTTAAGAATTCAAATACATGTACTTTTAGACACTTAGACCTATATATTCTTTGTACAGCAAAATTCATAAAATTAAATAAGGATTTGTCCTTCCTGCTGATTTTGTAAAAAACAAACTAGACTGTATGTGAAAATGTATGGCTTTAGAAATCATTACAAAATGACCAAAGGCTTCACATGCAGACAGGAAGTACCCAATACATGCTATTATGTATTATGGTCATATATTCAGGATTAGGTCAATATTAAGCTAAATGCCATTGATGCTGAAAAGGTATTAACTGCCATATCCCTTACTATAATAAATAGCACAAGCAACCACAGTGTGTACCTGTTTTATACAGCAGCATAAATGCCAGCATCCACAACGTTCCATCTGTTTCAAACATCTTGAGGAAAAACCACCGACCATCACCGTGTGACAATGACTGTGATTGATTAGTGGCATTAGGCTGAACAGTTCCCGTCACTAAATTATTTGTTGAGGTCCTTTGTTGAGCATTTGGTGAAATTTGATGTACTTTAGCAGAGTCTGTGTAGGGAAGATAAGTTATGTTAACAAGCAATCCTAAGGTATATAAAATGGCCAAAGTGATGAAAATCACTCTCAAGCTTAACAAGTCAATGAACCAGGCAAACACACCACCGGCAAACAAACTTCCAGCTTTATATCCAACTACTTGAGCTGTGTTACCAGTGGCCAGCTGTGTTGGGGTAAGCACATCAATCAGGAAAGCATCCACAGCAATGTCTTGGACTGAAGTAATGAGGTTGAAAATGAAGAGAATCCCTGTTAAACTGGTGTAGTCACTCGGTGAAACATTTGAGGCTGTGACACTAATAAATATCAGCGCTATCAAACTCCAAGTCAGCCATAACTTTTTGTGTCCATACAAGTCTACTATAGGAGCCCAAACTGCTTTCAAAACCCAGGGAATGAGAAGGAGTTTATATAAACTAACATTCGCCAATGACATCCCATGAGCTCGAAAGAACAAAGGGAGAAAGCCAGACTGTAGTCCATGAGGTAATCCTTGTAGAAAGTAGAGTACAAAGAAAGTCCTGATACGAGTCTTGTATTCTTGACTTGATGAACTTCTCACAACGTTCATATCTAGAGATCTGAAACGTAAAAAGAAACAACAAAATGAATGCAATGTAGTTCACTGGGAGAAACGGCATGGTTTTTAAGGACTTTTACAAGTTGGATCTCTCAATTAAAAGCCTGGGGATCCTGAAGAGACAGCCCAAGTCACTCTTTTGTGAAAACACTGCATCCATTTATACATTGTTCTGGCACATACTAAGATACAAACATGGTGCGCTCAATCCTCATAGAAGCCACATGTTGTATTACTGTTGTCTGCTTTCTAGAGAGGGTAAGATATTTAACACTATAACAAAGTCACCGGTTAGAAGCGCCCCCCCCCCCCCCCCCATGATATTTTTGGCAAGCATTTATTAATTGATAGGGTAGGTGACACACAAATAGTTCCAAAATCAGGTCTCTCTATGCGAGGAGAGTGGGAAAAGAGTATGTGTGTACCCCCCCCCCCCCCCCCCCCCCCCCCCTGACAGCATGGGGGGAACTAGAATAGATGAGGAGACGACAAAACGTAGAGAAAATAAAAACACTAATTAATTAAATAATCAAACACTAATAAATAGATTTAGTCATTGTTATTCATATTATAGATCCATTTTAATGATCAAATACCACTGTACTTACTCACTCACATTTTCTTAGTCAGTGATTGTCTGATACGAATAAGATCACTCACACTAAAATGGCAAAAGAATTAAGAACACATGTCTCTGTGGATGTTCAAAAAAAAAAATTTGTAAATTTTCTGTTTCCAAGGACTCGAACTCTAAATCTTTGAAAGTCTCACAAGCTTTGTTGGCCATTTCCTCGCTAATTTTGCCTCTGAAATCAGGAGACTGGGAGACTCCCACTTCTTTAAATTGCAAATATGTAAACTTCTATTCAAGATAGATGGGTATTTTCTTTTCATTAAAAGCAAGACAATGGAGAAACTTTAAGATGATACTAAGTTAATAACATCAGGCGTTCATATACAGTCTAGCATGCACATAGTGAAATCAGTGAGACATGACGTTTTTGCCATGTCGTCCCCTCAACTAATTTTGTCTAAAGTGTACTTCTATAGAGGGAACTTTGGACAAAATAGTTCTAAGGCGACGATAGGCCTTTGTATATCACAGGAGATACAATAAGTCAAATTTTACATGAATGTGCCCCCTACACCATACCAACACACATAATAAATTCATGGCTGCTTAAGTTTAAGCTTTGCAGATTTGGGTTTTTGATTGATTTTTTAACCACCTCGGAAACGATCAGCCATTTTTTCTTGGCTGAAAAGCCTTTCCAGCTACGAGTGGTTACTCCATGGTCCACTCTTCACTACAACTTCAATAGGTCCCGGGTTTGAAACCTGACAGCGACAGAAATTTTGTCTCTCTGACCATATTCTGACGCCAACTTTCATCTCCACTTTTAACCCTCCCCCCGACTCTTTCTGCAGCCTTTCTACTGCTACTCCTTGGCTCCTTTTTATTGCTGTCTCTCAGACATATACGTGGAATAACATACATTACACCGTCCCCGTGGTTTTATGCACCCCGCATAATTTAGCAAAATTTGATCATTTTTGCAAAATTTCTGATTATTTTCCTTTATAATCATCGTTAAAATTAACAGAATCGCATAATTTCACTTTTTTGGGCTCAGTTTGCATAATTTCAGAATTTTTTTCGCATATAAAACTGCGGCGCCAGATTAAATAACACCTCTGTTATAACTTATGTAACGTATCGGGAATTTAGACAGTACCTTTCTTTTACTCCGTAGTTACTTTTTGGTTACAGTGTACTACAGGACAAAAATAAAACAAAGAGCCCTTTCAACATGCTTTTTTCACTCTCAATAAATCTGTTTGTAACCACAAACTGAACAATATTACGTGGTGGCAGCGATTGACATGGTACATGTGTCATTTCTTTACTTTTTGCATCATGGCTGAACACACCACTGATGTTAATGTTCATAAGGCCGGTGAAACAACAGTTCATCGCCGCATGTCTCTACCCCCCACCAAAGCCCTTTTTTGGGAAGTCAGAATCATGGCCTCGTTGGAGACAACGTTTCAACAGGTTTCGTTTGTGCATGGTGTGCAGAACAAGTCACAGTCAGAGCAGGTCAGTACTCTACTGTACACTATGGGGGAGGTAGCCGATGACATCTTCACGTCTTTGTCAGTCGAGGAAAGCACCGCTACACACACAGAAACGATAGAGGCGTTTGACACTCACTTAGATGCGAGTAAGGGACTATGATTTGTCCAAACAGCTCCAATTGAAGCTCAAACTCACACTCAGGGAGGCTATACAAATAAGCCGACAAGCTGAAGCTCATGATGAAAGCCAGACACTCGTATGACCTCGTTGAGTAAGTCACAAAAAACCCTACACAACATGCGTAGTGCGCCAAGTGCTTCAAGGGTTCTGCACAAACCACACCCTTCACATACAGGTTTCAAGAGACCTTGTGGGTACTGTGGTCGCCTCCCAAGCCACAAACGAGATGCCTGCCCTGCCAAGTCAGCAGTCTGTGGCTCCTGTGGCAAGAAAGGCCACTATAAAGCAGTTTGCCGTAGTCACCCTAAAGTTCAGGAAGTCGCAGTCAACTCCTACCACATAGCTGAGGCCCCAGACTTTTTAGGTTCCATCACTGTAAACAAAGTCGACAGCCCAGATGAGTGGTCTGCAATCATCAAGTTGAACTCCATTTCAACAAAATTTAAGCTTGACACTGGTTCTGCGGTCTGTCATTGGAGACAAAATTGTGGAGACAAGCCAACCTCTCACTAGCTGTAGCAAAATTCTCAAAGGCACAACTTTGTCTAATCTTGGAACCTTTGAGGCTGATCTAAAGTTCAGAGAAAAAGCCATGAAAGAGGTGGTAAAAGACCAACCACACGCCCTACTCAGCAGGTCAGCTTGTGTAAAACTGGGTCTCATAGCCAGGTTCAATGTAGTCCACGAGACATCTCCTGATTTCAAAAGGGAGTTCCCCGATGTCTTCAAAGGACTAGGACAACTGAAAGACCCATACACGATCAAGCTACAAAAAGGCGCTGATCCTGGGTGCTTAATCACAGCGCGAAAAGCTGCATATTACTCTCAACTTCCAAAAGTCAAGATTGAAATTGACCGAATGCTGGCTGAAGGCGTGATCTCACGGGTAACGGAGCCCACAGAATGGTGTTCCGGCATGAGTTGTTGTGCCAAAGAGAAACGGCTCAGTTAGAATATAATGCGGGGACCTCACCAGTCTAAACAAGGCAGTGGAACGAGAACTCTATCCTCTGGCATCCGTAGACGAACAGCTTGCCAAGATTGCAGGGTCTACAGTATTCACTAAGCTGGATGTGACAAGCAGATTCTGGCAAATCCCTCTCGATTCAGACTCCAGAAGGTACACTACCTTCATAACACCGTTTGGGAGACTCTGCTTTAACCGTCTTCCCATTGGCATTTCTTCAGCCCCAGAGATCCAAAGGAAAATAAGTAACATTCTGGACGACCTTCCAGGTATCATTTGACACATAGATGACATTCTCATACACGCACGTAACCAGGACACTCACAATAAGCATGTCAGACAAGTCTTGAAGGGTCTCCAGAGAGCTAAGGTCACTTTAAATGACAAGTGTGAATTTTCACAGCCATCCATCAAGTTTCTTGGGCATATCGTGAACAAATCTGGCCTCAAGGTAAATCCAGCAAAAGTGGACGCCATTCGAAAGTTCCCTCAGCCCAAGAACGTCACTGAGTTACAACGCTTTCAGGGTAAGGTGAACCTGATGGCAAAATTCTCTCCTGAATTTAGCTACTGCAACTGAACCTTTGCGAGCATTGCTAAAAAAAGACTCATTGTGGACCTGGGAAGAACATCAAAAGGCATCTTTCCAATGCACCAAAGATGGCCTCACAACAGTACCCCTACTGGCACACTTCTTGGCTGACCGGGAAACTATCATTGCTGCAGATGCCTCCATGTCTGGCCTCTGGGCAGTACTTCTACAAATCCAAGATGATGGTTCTTGCAGACCTGTCAGCTACATCTCTCGAGCTCTGACAGATGCAGAAAAGAACTACGCAGTCATTGAGAAGAAGGCCCTTGCAGCAACATGGGCATCAGAACGCTTCAGTGAATACATCCTTGGCAAACAGTATACACTGGAGACAGATCAAAAACCCTCTGTCCTTCTCCTCTCTACCAATGAACTCCACAAAATGCCACCAAGGATCCAATGATTCTGTCTGAGGCTGATGAGCTTTTCACCAAATGTGCTGCATGTTTCGGGAAAGCATCAGACCACTGCGGACACACTTTCTCGGGCTCCAACAAACCTACCATCAGATGCAGAATCACTCTTCGTTGATGAAGTGTCAGACTTTGCACAACAGACTATTCACAGCCTCTCTGCTTCACCACAGAGACTTCAAAATATCGTCTCACAGCAGATGAGCGACCCAGAGACGTCGGAAGTCCGAAAATACTATACCAGAGGCTGGCCAGCATACATGCCTGAAAATCCACTTCTAAAACAGTATTGGACTAATCGTCACCATTTCAGCATTGTGGATGACAGTTTTAGTGGCTGAATGTGTGATATGCATGCAGCAAACACAGTGCTGCAGTTTGACCTCCGAAGCAGTGTATCTGTAGGCGGGAGTGAAAGTAAAAATATACCAATGCATGATTGTAGACTGTTGTAGAGGTCACTATCATGCTCATTCATTGCCAACTGATCTGCCTCCCCGGTCTACTGTTGGAATTTATTCCACTTGGCGTGGTAAGCCAAGAACGACAAAAGCACATACAGTGGAGTCCACTTATAACGAGTCCGGAAAAAACGAGAAGTCTGTTATAAAGACACTATTCTAAAACCCCGTTTTTTTCTCTTCTTTACCTTTGTAAATAAAATACTGTTATTGCGCTACCAGACAAACATGAGAGTCGGTTATAGAGGAATATTGCTGCTGCTGTGCACAGTGCATCGGCCAATCATACATAATATAAAACCTCGCCAGTTGAGAAACTTGTTGGTGATCTAGCGAAACAAAGAATGGGAGAGCCCACGTGTGTCAACCATGAAGGCCGGATCGACTGAGTAATGGGGGTGTGGCGTGTGCAGACAAGTAGAACGCATTGCGCGATAGGCCAGCGTAAGCCTAGTTTAGATTATCAAGGCCTACTATGCCTCTCACTTCTCCGATGTTAGGATGGAGAGGTCACAATGCTGTGACGGATGGAGCGAATGTGTGACGTGTGCAAGCAGACGGAGTGCACCACAGGGTGTGGTTGGGTTCGGGGAAAACGCAGCGGGCGATTTAGCCAAAAGCCCTTTCTTTCTGATCGCCAACGCCGAGCTGTCAGTCAACATGTTTAGTGCTAGAGAAAGAAACCTGATTCGATTTTTGATCAAGTAAGACCTAGAGGTCATGTTGGGCAAAATCATCATCAGGGGAGATAGCAAAAATAAATAAACAGAACACCAAACTCATAGATTAGGCCTACTTTCTTAGTTCCCTTGAATTTATTACTGGATCCCTTATAGCGAGAATCCTGCTATAACGGGCATTTTGCACCGGTCCCCTCCCTTTCATCATAACAGGATTCCACTGTATATACAGTAGTCTCCGCCTAAACGCACGGTGCTCGGGAGTGTTTCTTAGCGTGTGTTTTATAGGAAGCGTGCGTTTACATGATGAACCTTTGAAAACGGAGGAAAGGATGAAGTCATTTCATAGCCTTGATATTCTAGTGACCTCCCTTTGGGGTGGGGGTCATTTTGGCCGATAAAGTGATGACATGTGATTCTTTTGTTAAGGATTCCTGGACTGCGATTAGGAACACAAAGGTGTTGAATGGGGGGGGGGGGGGGGGGGGGAGAAAGACAGACTCAATATAATGATACGCACTATAAAACGTCGGGAACAGATAGCCTAAGAGGAAACTGTTGGAGATCGTCATAGAGACAACGGCTCAGCCTCGTGGCTTTCCAAGCGACCACCCTGACCGTAAATTCATGGACGACATCAGAATCATAAATCTCTACATTCAGAGAAACATTCCTCTATTGTGATTCATTGAACAAGTACAATATAAGAATAAGTTCTTTAAGCACATCTGGGCTTACTTGGCTAATCTTAAATCCTGTAGAGGCCTGTCAGTGTTTTATGGCATTCACGTGTGTTGCGCATCAGGTGCTCGGGAGTGTTTCTTAGCGTGTGTTTTATAGGAAGCGTGCGTTTACATGATGAACCTTTGAAAACGGAGGAAAGGATGAAGTCATTTCATAGCCTTGATATTCTAGTGACCTCCCTTTGGGGTGGGGGTCACTTTGGCCGATAAAGTGATGACATGTGATTCTTTTGTTAAGGATTCCTGGACTGCGATTAGGAACACAAAGGTGTTGAATGGGGGAGGGGGGGGGGGGAGAAAGACAGACTCAATATAATGATACGCACTATAAAACGTCGGGAACAGATAGCCTAAGAGGAAACTGTTGGAGATCGTCATAGAGACAACGGCTCAGCCTCGTGGCTTTCCAAGCGACCACCCTGACCGTAAATTCATGGACGACATCAGAATCATAAATCTCTACATTCAGAGAAACATTCCTCTATTGTGATTCATTGAACAAGTACAATATAAGAATAAGTTCTTTAAGCACATCTGGGCTTACTTGGCTAATCTTAAATCCTGTAGAGGCCTGTCAGTGTTTTATGGCATTCACGTGTGTTGCGCATCAGGCCTAGGTCTAACTAAACATTACATGCAGTCACCCAAACACCAGCCAGAAACCTTCTCTCAAAGATGCATTCCCAGTGACCAATAAAAAAAAACAGTTCAGTCCCCCCCCCCCCCCCCCCATCCCAACATTTCACCGACCAGCCATAGACCAAGACCTAGACCTATGTGAGGCTGAGGAAAGTTGGGAGTGAAAACGCTGTTCATCACTCTTTTTGTTAGGCATGAGGGGCAGTCTCACCAAATACATGTACAGTCGAACCTGCCTTAACGGAAACCTGTGTAAAATGGAAACCTGTCTTAACGGAATCTCCCCGCTCCCCCCTTGATATATTCCTCTTTAATTACCTGTATAAAACGGAAACCTTCCAACGCGGAAACGGAAAGAAAAATCCGCTCCCTTCCGAGGGTTTCACCTGTCTATGACAGAAAATGCTTTGCCCACTCAGCCCTGATTTGAAACAAAACTCGCAAGTTTGGTTCCGCTGGCTCTAAACTTAACACCATGGCCATGCCCCTGGGCAAGGAAGGGGAGTAGGGGTGAAATGGGGGTAGAAGTTACCCCATCATGTGAGCCCTGAGCGATACAGATGGTCAGTGTAGTGTGGGTGTGATATCTCACAACTGCCCGTGAGAGTGCTCGAGTAACGAGCCACTACGGAAACTTTCCTAGGTAACCAAAAGCCAGAGATGTGAAATTAGATTGACCAATGCCTGCCGTCCTGATCATACGGCCAGCCGAGAAAAGAGTTCCTCGAATCATTGTTACATTGATGGCAGTAACGGGTGGCATTGGTGGGTGGGACTAAGGGTGGAAGCCAAAGGAGATGTTCAAACGTTTCTATTTTTAATAGATCAAACAGTGGTCCTATAAAGGCAAGCACTGGTGGTAATTGGATGTATATACGTGTAAGACTGACGCATGTCACTATCATACAGGATAGCAGCTGAGAGGTGTGAAGTTTTGACCACTGCTTGCCAATCGGACAAGCGATCCTTGATCCCACCGGCTGGGCCTTTGACCCCCCCCCCCCCCCCCCCAACCTCCACCTCCCCCCTAAGTTCCCCTGTCTAAGACGGAATTTATTTCCCGCTCCCTTGCGATTCCGTCTTACACAGGTTCCACTGTTCCGGTTTTCTAGGCTTGTCTTATAATGCAAGCTGTGCAGGTTGTAGTGGAAATTCCCCATTGGGCCATTATCAAGCTTTACCTGTCGGCGTGTTTCACGGATCGGAGCGTGCGTTAAGAGGGAGTGACTGTGCGTTAGTACGTCTAAATTATATAGTAAAAAACCCGTCAGATGACGAAAGCGTGCGTTTTTGCGGAGCGTGCTTTTGTATGGTGTGCGTTTAGGCGGACACTACTGTACATTCAAATTCGCCGTAAATCATAGTAAATGTAATTGAGATCAAAGATCATATTATGTTATTTTTAACCTGCTGCACTACTCAGTAAGGCAAGGCAGATACAGGTGCACAATGAACAGTGTCAACACACAAGGAAGTCGGTCCTTCAATACAATACTAGAGAAAGTCGTAATTAAAATACCCTGTAGTGTGTTACTCTTCCTCACAAGTCCTCACAACCGTAGGCCTACTCCACTGTTGACTGCTACTGTGCTTGATTTTTGTAAACAAAGCGAGAGTTACGTCCCCATTCCCCTCGTGAAGAGATCGTCAATTTGGTTGATTTTCATAATGAGTTGTTTTGAGCACATGATTTGCATTTATATATAGACTAGAACTTCTAGGCCTCATGTCTTTCTAAAAACAACATAACTATTAAAGGAAAAGATTTTTTAAAAAATCTTAATTTTATTTCTTTGAATTTTAGTTGCTTTAAGTAGAACAACGATCTTAAAAAATATAAGCCTAGATCTATATCTCCGGTCAAGTTTTTATATTATTTAGAAGTTGACGACGAGAGTTATCTTCCATGACATAAAATCATGCCTTCTTTCACTTTCGTTGCGAAGTGAGTGTGTACTACTAGATTTCTAGATCTAGATCTAGATCTAGATCTATATCTAGCCTAGTAGTAGATCTACCTGGTACGAAGGTGTGACTCTGAGGGGAATTATTTCTGAGTATATTATAATACATGTTAAGATAACAGGCACCAGATAATGTTTTGGCCTGTCGTAATGTTACCTAGAAGCTAGGGACGAGGAGACTAGGGTGCTTTTTCGGTAGTCCCCCCCCCCCCCCCCCCTCATTTGTCTCATTTGAGCCTAGAATCTAGATCTAGACTAGATTTCTAGATCTAGATCTAGATTAGATCTAAATAGATCTACATCGAGATAGTATTTTCACACATCAATAAGTCGATAACTATTTGATTTGCGGCAAAAATGAAGGCCATATTTCGTGTTCAGCATGCAAAAAAATACGGCGCTTTTTCGGTAGTTCCCACCCCGCAATTGTTATTCACGGGTTTTGGCCCCAAGAGTAGGGGGGTTTCAGGGGGGCTTGCCCCCCTGACCTAACAAAAATAGGAAGGGGGGTTTCAGGGGGGCATGCCCCCCTGAATTTTACCACAATTTAATGTTTTGCTGTTGTTAGGTTTGATATCTTAGCTCACCGCGAATCAAACGTATAGATCTAGATCTAGATGTAGGTCAGGCTCAAATAAGGGGGGTGGGAACTACCGAAAAAGCACCAAAAATACTACTTGATTAGAAAAGAAGTATATAGTCTAAAACGTGAACATGAGACGGGTGCAAAAGGAAAAAAGAACCCCAAAGATCGTGTAGAGAATCTTTGATGGCATGACGCTTTGGTTCAATGTTTTTCCAGGAATACCGGAAAACCGGCGGGGGAAATGTATGCCAAAATCCGAGAGCAACGCACTCACGCAAAAGCTGAACATCTTCTCAGTGGTGCCGAGTTTAGTTTTAGAAAAGGAAGAGGGTGCATTGATGCAATCTTTGCACTCCGACAACTGTGTAAGAGAGCACTGGAATACGACGAAGATCTCCCTTCTCATATTTGTGGATTAGAAAAAGGGCTATTCTCACCCCGGGTGAGAATAAAAATACGATCGACCTCTCACCCCGGTTGAGACTTGCCAGCGTTGGCTTTTCTCACCCGGCGTGAAACAAGACCCGTTTTTCCTAATTTCTGAGTACTGTGCTAAAAAAACAACTTATTTGGTCGTGTATACAAAGATGCTGTGGCTATTTCACTTTTTGAATCAAGCCGAACTACGCGGGTCGCCATTTTGTTTTGCCCGGAAGTTCTCGCTACTCCTCTCTCTCTTTCTCTCTCTCTCTCTCTGTGGCCTAGAGGTTAAGGTGTTGGCCTCTCATTCAAAGGTCCCGGGTTCGATTCCGGGTAGCGACCAAAAAATTTTCTTCTCTAAAATTGTCTTCTTTCACATCCTTTCCTGATCTCTAGCAATGTTCTGTTGTCTGCTTTCATTTCCACTTTCTGCCCCCACCCCCTCACCCCCTTTGCCCCCTCCTCTGAGCTCCTGACTCTTTCTGCAGCCTTTCTACTGCTACTCCCTGGCTCCTCCTAACTGCTGTCTTTCTGCCACACCCCTGATCTTCTGGTAGGAAAGATCTACACCTCTAGCCTTCTTGGACAAGGGCGAAAAATCTCGGAGGGCCCGTGTGCAAGTTGCGCACGTTAAAGATCCCTTGGTGGTCTTAAAATCGATTAGAGTAGGCTTCGGCCGCCACCCGGGCAAAATTCAAAATTTCCTACCAACGAAAAAGTATTAGGTGTGTCCCGCGCGCTCATATGACCTTATGCAGTTGCGAGCGCCGTAAAACCCTATACTAAACAAAACAAACAAACATCTCTCTGTGTCTCTCTCTCTCTCTCTCTCTCTCTCTTTCTTTCTGAATTATACTGTCTATCGGTGTAGATGATCAAATTGACAAAAACAAAGAAGAAAATAATGTTATAGCGCAAAAGTAAATGAATTTGGTCGTCTACAAAGATGTTACTGCTATTTCACTTTTCGAATCGAGCCGAACTACATGAGTAGCCTTTTTGTTTTCCCCGGAAGTTCTCGCTACTCCTCTCTCTCTCTCTTTCTCTCTCTCTCTCTCTCCTTTCTCCCCCCCTCTCTCTCTCTCTCTCTCGCTGCCCAGCAGACAAAATCGCATGCTTTCAACACAAGAGCGCTGGAACGTTTGTTCATGGTGAACGCTACACTGGTTGGCTTATCACAGTGAACACACCCCCGGTGAGAATAGCCAAAAGGCCTTTGGTCGAGTAAACAATCTATGGAAGATCCCTGAGCAGTACGACATCAAGGGACGACTGCTAGACAGTCAGGGCTATCTATGTCAACAGCAGAAGCGCAGTCCGCACTACCAGTGGAATATCGGACTGGTTTCCAGTAACATCTGGAGTCAGGCAGAGCTGCAATCTGTCCCCCCTGCTCTTCGTGATCTACATGGATGAGATTACTAAGTGTGATTGCGAGGCAGAAAACACTGTACTTGCCCTCTGGCGTCAACTTACGAACAGGAAAATATGTTGGCTTCAGTGTGGTGGTGACTCGTCTGTGCTGGCCGGCTCATATTTCGTCGTTGGGCCCTCGGAAGTCACTTTGCCGGCAGCTACGAACCGTCAGCCACTTTTGTCTCTAGTACCGAGACGGAAAAAATTGGCTCGTAGAAAATTCCAGCTTCGCCTTTATACTAATGTTTCAGCGCCACTAGTGTCTCAGGCCCGTAACTTTCAATATTTGATTACTCCAATAACACAATCTAGCCCCAGAGGCGCTCAATGAACTCATGTTTGCAGACGACCTGGCAATGATGAACAACAAGACTCAACTACAGGAGCATATATATGACATGAACCAACTAAACGTGAGCTGCGAGAAATATGACATGAAGATCAGTGTTAGCAAGACCGAGGTCATGACAATTAGCAGGAGACCAGACAAAGGGGATATCAATATCAATGGATCCCTAATAAAAGAAAGCAGGGAATTCAAATACTTTGGCAGCATTTTCACAACAAATGGAAAATTAGATAGAGAAATAGAGACTTGATGCCAGAAAGCCGATGCAGTCAGCTATCAACTCGCCCCTCTCCCGAAACATCCCAATATCCCCATGAGCACCAAGGCAAAACTCATCAGCGCCTTTTTCCTACCAACACTCACTTATCAGTGCCTGACATGGTCCTTAACAAAAGTCCTAGAGAGGAAGCTGGTCACATGCGAGATGAAATGTTTAAGAAGAGCGACTGACAAGACAAGAAGAGACAAAATAAAAAAATGAAATCATAAAGAACAGACGCCTGCATCTCCCCGCGACACCCACTGGCACAAGCGGAAGAATAAGGTAAAGTTAAGAAAGTACCGGTAAAATGATATGATGCGGTCCTCTGATGATGCTGCTGCTTATCTCTTTTGTGCGTTGTTTATCGCGCCCGGGGGAGGGTGGGGTAATCTTCCGGCTTCCGGCGTCTTTACAACAATTTCCGCACCCGTTATTGTCTTTGCATTTACCATGTTTCAATTTCAAGCTTCACTGCCAGAATTTCGAAATGTTATTAACATACCGGAAACCTTGTAACCAATCAGAAGAGCATGGCTGACGGGCTGCAGTTAGCCGCATGTGTGAAATTTTACCTTGCGAAATACATCGATATATGGATAATACGTCAAGCCACTGACCCAATGTGTCGTTCCATGCACTATCTCCAAAGATTCTCTACTACACGATCTTTGGACACGGTATCTCCAAGGCCTTCTAAAAATATTCTGGTATCTCAGGATGTGATGACAGTAGCCACATGTTCACTGGCCTGCACCAAGAAGACAGGGTCATGTCCGTCCACTCTTTTTTATTCTCCATCTTCAAATTGGTGGTGGAGAGATAGTCCCTCAAAAATGTCAATTCAGCTTGTGTTCAATTATATTTCTTCCTTTTTGTATGCAAATCAAAGCAAATTTACTCTGTAAAATTTCAACAACGGATGTTCTTTCGTTAAAAACAATTGAAAAATAAAATTCAATTCATACAATCGATCAATCCTTCATTTACTCTTTTTGAGAGTGTCAGTGATAACTTACATCATGCTGGGCACAGTTGAGGCGGGGTGGACCGGTGACAAACTGGCATGCTTCCCACCCGAAAAACTGCGCTCGGTTTTTGGACTTGAACTTTAGTTGTAGTCACTTGTACTTTTGTGTTGGTGTAGAACAGTTATGTAGTTGGCTGATCTTAATAAAGTAGGCCTACACTGATGATTTAGGCACTATTCGTTGATACTTTAGACTTATTGATTACTGATCCCATAATCCAGGAGGATCCTAGGGTCGCTGTGTGATAAAGAGCCTCGTCAGATGTCGCCACTTTTCCCAATTTTTTTGCGCTGTCCATTCCGCAATGTTGTCGGCCCACCTCTTTCTTTGCCTTCCTCCCTTGCACAGTTCCCTGAAAAACGATCTTGGATAGGCCACGTGATCTCGTTACATGACCATACCAATTCATTTTTCTTCGCATCACAGTAGACAAAAGTCTAAATAGTGACTCATATGTTGTTTCACTCTACACTACTGCACACTTCCTCATTTGTGACGTGGTTATTGTATGAGATGCCAAAGAGTCGTCTAAAGCATCTCATTTTGGCTGCTTGGATCTTCCTCTGAAGCTCTGCTGTGAAGATCCATGATTTGCAAGTGTGTAGAAGGATGGAGATGACGAGGGAATAGAGTAGTTTGATTTTGGAATTGACTGAAACGTGGCGATCTTTCCATATATTGGTCTTAGTTTTGTAAGACTTAAAAGTTAAATGTCTAGCAAGATCCCCAAAGAGACAATTGATTGTTTATTGTTGTAAAAGACAGGTGGCTATTAATCTAGATGGAATCTGAGCTAGATCAGTTTATCATATATTTGGATTCAGTATTATTTTACTCCTAGACCCGACCTGCCTCACTCTCAGATATTCTAAAGCACTTTTCTTGTTAATTTTTATCTGCCTTACACAAATTTTGACTTTATTATATTATATCCCCAGCAAATTATTAGTAAATGAAATGTATGAATTATTTTATAAACATATATTACAAATAGGACCAATTGCACTGTAATATTTGACTTCGTTTTTAACTACGTGAGGGTTTCCCCCAACCTAAAAAATTCAGGGGGGTGAGGGTGTGTGTTTCACTAGGTATTTCACCATAATTTGATGTTTTGCAAGTGGGTTTGATTTTTTCTTGAAAACAATTGATTTTGAGGGTTTTAGTGGCCATTTATGCGTGTTCTACAGCAAAAATATTGCAGTTTAGCCTCTGAAACAGTGCCTGCGTGCGGGTCAAAAAGTAAAAAATTACCATGAATTCTTATGTGGTTTGTGTTGTGTGTCACTCAAGGCTACAAGTTCCAAAAGAGCTTTTTACAGAGGAAATGCTGCCGTGCCAACAGACCCAACATACACCTCCAGAAGTAGTCATTCAAGAAAAAAAAAGAAACAACAAAATATGAGATTCCCTTACAGAAGCCGATGGCTACTGTTACTGTTAGATATGCCACACTCACAGTTATGTCCATGTCTGCATACACATCTACTGAAATCAGCAGCAGTGTGATTACTTCTATCTACTGGCTGTCGCAAGGTGTGGACTGCGGTAGTGTGCTCAGTTCATTGGACACTCACTTGTCATAGGGTAAGGGCTTCATAAGTCATTGAGTATGTCTCGTCTCCTGTTTTGTAGGCTGAGTAGTGCCTAGCCAGGAAAAAGCCTAGCCGCTTCTTTGCATTGATTGAACATACACACTTAGTGTGAGAATGTGTTGGGGAAAAACTTTTCACTAATTGACCGCTGACTGTGAGCAGGTTTTAAGACTGACCGTGGCCGTATTGGAGAGGGACTGCTATGTATAAAGATAGGAAAAACGCAAGGATTTCACGGAACAGTGGCCATTAGTACAGGTGATTGCTATGGAGAGGTGACCACTAAAGCAGGTTTAGCTGTAGTCATTTGTGGTTTATGCCCCTATCAACACAATTTAGATTGTGCAAGAGGCTGGCTGCTTCAACCCTGCCTGACAGGCTAGGCTAAACGTGTTATGACATGACCCACGGTGATCACAAATGTCTCTTCTTCTACTATGCAAGCTAGATGTGTAAATTTTCATCAAAAGTATGATTTTTTAAAATAGATAAGCTTTAAGATGATACTACAAATTACGGTACTTTATTTCAGGAACTGTTCTAATCAGAATGGCTGCAAATTCTGGAAGTATTGACTTGGTGTCATCAGATATTGCTCGGCATCCTTGCTGTAGCCATGGTAAGCTATCAGTAGTCCCTGATAAAATTAAAGATGATTACTGCTATTGTAGTATGAAATTTCATAATTGCATCCAGCTGTCCTCAATATGTTCAGTAGTATTTGACACAAGTTCTCCCGCTTAGCTCTTTCAAATATATGGGGAAAACACACATTTTAAAGCAAGACTGGAAAACTTCTGGCACTAATTTTGTTAATTTATTATTCAGCTTAGGCATTCCCTTTTCTCAGAAAGAGGTTAGTTGTTTCTTCTTTATAATAATGAAACTTTAATGAAGTCTTGGACCATGGAAGAATTGATTTGGTTTTTGTAACTAGTTTTGATGTAGATCAAGATATTTCCAGACATGGATTAGCTTAAAATAAAGTTTTCCTTTTGTATGAAGCATGAAGTTGAATGTTTGCTTAAACCCCTGTTTGGAACACATTATTTGTAAATCCAGTTGTGTATCACAGTGCAGCAAAAAAAAAAGGGGGACAGTGTCCTTGTCTTGTTGATTAGCCTCCTTGATTATCTTGGTAACTAAAATATTTAGACTATGTCTAAAGTAGACTGGCTTTGTATTTCTGTACTTTAGAAATGGCGTGTTCTAATTAGAATATCTTAATTGGAATTGTCTTTAATGGAGTGTTCCTGTTTTTTTTTGATGTGCTTTATTAAATGCACTGTCTGTTGTAAAATGTTTTTATTTGTCCTCTTTCAGGTCCTACACTTTTATTTGAGCGCTTTGACCAGTCCCGAGGAAAATCACGTCAGTTTTATGCTTGTTCTGCATTCAGAGATAGAAAAGCTTGCAGTTTTTTCCAGTGGGCTGATACAGACATGGTGGCTGATGAAGCCGCCACAGATACTTGTTCAGTTAAAACAGCTCATTGGCAGTCAAGAAAAAGGTTGTTTATTTTTTTAAACTTAAATTTTTATGCTCAATAGGATTTAATTTTAAAAGAAAATAGGTTTGTGAGAATAGTTATTTTGAATCAGGTTTTTAAAGTGTTTGAAGTACAATAGATTTACTGTTTTAATCCCCCCCCAAAATCCCACTGTATGGACCAACAGTTTTTATAACACGTCGGTACCGGCCTTGGTAGTGTAAGAGATCTATAGTTCGAGGGATACGTGAACAGTGTTGTGGTATCGGCTGTGTCAGAGAATCAAATCAAGGGAAGCAACTAATATTGCAACTCTTGGGGCAAAACAATAGATGGATTACCTCCTTTCAGTTGTCTGCAGGCGGAAGGCGACAATGCATAACCAACAACGCGATGACAAAACAATGTAGCCCTACCCTGCCTCTCCCACCAAGCATGCAGTCCTTTGCGAAGAGGGGTAGGGCGGCCGATCATGTGATTCACAACTCTTCCTCTCACCTTCTCTACACAGCTAGCTAGGCCTAGAGCCTAGGCACTCATGTCGAACAGCACGCTAAAAATAGTACTACAAGCTGCTTCTGTAGACAAAAAAAAATTATAATATAATATAATTATTTTGTCTCAAGTGCACCTCAAAGGACATTGACTTCAGACGTCTGCGGCAGCATAATTAGTTTGACTATGACAATTCCATGTTTGTGTTCGCGAGCGACGCATAATTTTCTTTCGAAGATAAAGAAGGAAAAAAAAGGAGGAACCCTAGCACAGTTTGGCGGATATGTGATTTTGAATCTTCAAAATGTGCAATCAGTTCCAACATTTTGTAAAACTTTTAAAAAAAAGTTGTTTAGCCTAGGGAAAGTAAGATTATGAAACAGAAAGGCAGAAACAATGCTAATGCATCACACTTATACAAAAATAAAAGCTATATATGTTAAGTTTTGTTACAATAATTACTTAAAATTGATCACTTTACACTCTGAAGAGATATTCTATTGATTGATCATAGTTCTGTCATTTCATTTTGATAGATTTTTAAACTGTCATTCACTGCTGAAACAATCCATTATCTTGACCAAAAGGCTTTTTTGTTCAGGTGCAAATATTCTTTCTTTTTTTTTTTGGTCAGATATCATCGATTCAGAAAGTTGCCAAGGAAGGACAGACATGTTTGCTGCACCTGTGGGCTACTCCTGCTAGATGATGAACTCTCATTGCACGAGTCTCAAGGACATGTGGTCAAAAAGAAAGTTGGTTTGAAGCAACTACGGCAATCGTCAGCTATGTTCTCACCACTGGATGACAATAAAACATTTGCAGTAAGGTTTGCCGTAGCATGTGCTTTTGTAGACTTTTTGATAGTTTTCCATGGTCTTGTAGTACTGAAGGTGAACTGTCAAATACCTGTTGTTTTGGGGGGTTTTTTTTTGGGGGGGGGGGGGGTTGTCCAGAACAGCTCTTGAAAGTGTTCACATCTTTTTTTAAATACTGCTACGAAACATTACGAAGAATGAATTGTTTTCTTGTCTATTCTCACTATATGAAGAACGTTTATTGTGGGTCTGCAACCCAAACTGTAAGAAGCACAAACGAGGAAAACTTACCTTCTTTTTATAATGTTATGGTAGTGTCTTGGAAAAATGACTGGGACTTTTCTGGACAGTTATAGTCAGCACAGTAATTATTGTGGAAGCTGCCTGCCTCATGTTGACGCTAAGGCCCCAATGAGTTAAATGTTTGCAATTTTTTCAAGATTTGAGTCTGGAACCCTTCACCTTTGAGTCAGCAATTCACCACTTAACACTATATGTCTGTGAATAAGTGTTTGAAAAGTATTGCTTGTGTAGTGTTAATCTGGTATTATCGATATTTCTTCTCTCTCAGCAATATCTGTTCTCAAAGAAATCTGTGGACTTTGTTCTGGAAACTCTAGACCAGCTGGGCTTTAGTCATGTTCTTTGTGTTGGAACTCCAAGGTAAGGAATCTTTCTCTTTTGACAACTTGTTAAATAGATGTGATTGTTATTTAAACTTACATTAGAACCGATCATTGTTTTTTGCAAGAAAAATGAGTACCGGTAACTCATATTGTTTTTTTCACTCCTTTTACTAGATGGATCACAACAACCACTCAGCCTGTAAAGCTCACTCAGAATTTCTATTTTTTTGTTTGTTACAGAGATGAGATATATTTTGTCTTTTATGATATCTTGAATGTTAAGTATACTGCCACCGCTGACTCCATGTCTTGATTTGATATAAATTATCGTCAACTTTTAAAGAATAATTTGAGATTATATTTCGTCTTCGAGTCAGTTTGGCTGGGATTGATAAAATGATCTTCTTCGTTTGTGTCCCCAACTTGAATGGTGGTCAGCATGAACGGTTTGGGAGGAGGTACAAATAATTGTTTATGTCACGTATTACTGATGAAGTCTTACTTTGTGCCTGATGTCTTCGTTAGCCTCAGATTTTGCCTTGTCATTTTCAGAGTTCATGAAGCGATTCAATGTAATCAGAAAAGAGGAAACTTGTCTCTCAAATCAATGCTATTGGATCTTGATGACAGATATGTAAGTGGTTTGATGTTGTAATCAGTCTAGCTGAATGACATATATGGAAGAAATATGTGCTAATTGAACATACAGGTACCATTTAGGGGAAGTAAAACATGTCAGGTATGACAGGATTTATTTCTCTTGCTTACTTTTCAAAAGTAAGACTTAAAAGTTGGTTTGGTGTGTGCTGTCGTCATGAATGTGCAGAAGTCAGTCCCATTTATTCAAGTACCTAATCCAATATTGAATTTCAGAAACTGTTCTGTGAACATTTGTAAAAACAAAGAAGCCTAGGGGGGCTCTCATGGCCTAGTAGTTAAGGTGTTGGCCTCTCGTTCAAAGGTCCGGGGTTCGAATCTGGGTAGTGACCGAAAAATTTTATTTTCTAAAATTGTCTCCTTTTACCTCCTTTCCTGCTCTCTAGCAATGTTCTGTTGTCTGCTTTTGTTTCCTCTTTCTGCCCCCCCCCCCCTCCTCCTTTGCACCCTCCTCTGGGCTCCTGACTCTTTCTGCACCCTTTCTACTGCTACTCCTTGGCTCCTTCTTACTGCTGTCGTTCTACCACACCCCTGCCCCGATCTTCTGGTAGGAAAGATCTACACTTAGCTTTCTCGGACAAGGGCGAAAAATGTCGGAGGGCCCGTTTGCAAGTTGCACACGTTAAAGATCCCTTGGTGGTCTAAAATCGATAAGAGTGGGCTTTGGCTGCCACCCTTGCAAAATTCAAAATTTTCTACCAACTGAAAAAGTTTAATGTGTCCCGCGCGCTCATATGACCTTATGCAGTTGCGAGCGCCGTAAAGCACTTACCCCCCAAAAAAGAAGGGAAAAAAGAAGCCTAGCCAGCCTCTTCTTGAATGGGTGTTAAATTTAAGTAGTAGATCAGTTAGATTAAATTTTCTCTTTGAGTTTTGAAAGAAAAAGACAATGTCTTTCTGAAGAATTGAAAAGAAATATGTTTTAAGATGCTTTGCACCATATAACAGTGCTAATTCTGACTCTAATATTATTTTATTTTCATCTTTTGTATTTTTTACAGGGACAGATATATCCACCTTCAAAGTTTGCAAAATACAACATGTTCAACCATCATTTCTTTGAGGAGGATGGTCTCAAAATGACCTCAGAGTTTTTATGTCAGGGAAAAGACAAAATTGTTTTGATCACTGATCCACCATTTGGTGGTATGGTGGATGCCCTTGCTGCAGCATTTCAGAAGTTGTCAGATATGTGGAGAGAGAAGACGCTACAAAGCTCTGAGAGTACTCCTTCAAGCATTGATGGTAGGTCACTGGAAAACTGTGCCCCATGACTGTGATGTGTGAGGTTGTACAGCTAGAGTACTCCACCCATCTGGCAGATGTAAAATTTTTATGGACCACCTTTGCCAGTCAATGGAAAAAAAGAACAAGTAAATAAACATGTCATAACATAACTGTGCATATTGGGATGCAATTAAATTGAAAATCCTTTCTGTTTGTAGCAAAATGGTACACATGACTTTGTAGCTCCGACATGATTAATGCTTTTGGGGGAAGGTACGAACAGTAAGGCGTGACCACTGGTGATTGTATATCTACTGGGGGGTCGTCTTGTACCATGGAGCTTTTGTCCCCCCTCCAACGTGGGAGGCCGCGACTCCTAGCATAGTGGGAATCTTTGTCTTGAAGAGGGGATGGACTATAACTACTATGAGCATTAAAACCTCGCCAGTCTTGGTTTGATCCACACGGAGATCAGTCATGTTCGTTTTATTCCCGTCCTTAGTTTAGGACCCGGGGTTTAAGCTGAACAGTGTCTTGCTCCAGTCTGTGCCTACTCGGCACCAGTTTCATTTGTTTGTCTGTTTTTATTTTGCACGTCTCCGCACCAGTATCAAGTATTTGTGAATTATTTTGTGCTTATTGAAGCACCTGTGCAGTGGACCTGAAAGTTTTATTGTTTGTTAGAGCTCCTATTTCTCAAGTCGATTATAATATCGTGCTCTCTGTTGCCGGCCACGTTTTGAGTTTTTTTTGGTTCCAGTTCTTCTATGAAGTCCACAGACAAATGATATCAAGATTTATGAACAATACAATTTGAACTTTAAACCCAGTGATATCAAGATTAATGAACAAGACAATTTGAACTGTAAACCCAGTGACCTCCAGAGTAATGAACAATACAATGAATCCTGACCTGTGCATGTACTATCATTTAAGATCTACTACGCCAGCCTACTGTTAGAATCTACTGTGTGTGTGTGTGTCACAGCCAAGAAACATTGCAGAGTGCACGTCAATTTTCCTTTTGTTTAATGAAAAGCAGTGTCAGTCTTTATAAGTTTAAGGTAAGGGTACCCTACCAGTTACTAGGCCTACAACGTGTTACTGGTACAATAGCAGCTTGATTTAATATTGATAGTATTAGAAATATTGTTCTTATTTTTGTTTCTCACCACAGGCGATCACCGTCTTGGATGTACGCATGCTATAATCTGTAATCGAGTGTGTCCGCATTGATTTATTGTCCAGCTATGTAATTGCTGAAAGTTAATGCCTATACTCGGTCGTATTCTTCCTTGCACAACCTTTCTTTTTCTATTAGTTAGAGCCACCACCTTGCGAGTCCCAATACAGTTCTTCATTTTAATTAAACTACATTCTATTTGTTTAGCAGGTGCCTTGTTAGACTTGTAAGACTTGTGCGCATATTTGTCTACCGTAAGGTTACAAACTAGTGATTCAAAAAATGGCTTGAACAGCTACTTTGTGACACTGTTGTTACAACCGAAAATAGGCTTCTTAGATGAAAGGAGAGGCATTTCTAACTTTCTGATCATGAGTTGTTTTTGTGTTTTGTTTTTTTGGGTATATCATTGTCCTTGAGATATTTTCTCATTCTGATTGCTATTTGGGAGTCTTTAATGAAACAATTAAGCAGTGGGTGGTTGGCGGGTGCTCTGGTTTGATTTTCTTCTTCTTTCCTATCAAACATCTGTCGTCCTTATCTCCCGTCTTTCTATTTTGTGTTTGTTACTCTCTTTGTAACTCCTCTAATCTTAGGCCCTTATATGACCTTATTGTGTTGCAAGTGCTGTAGAACACTTACTAAAACTAAACAGTTAAGCATATAAGTACTGTACTTGTTACAGTTTCTGACTTTTTGGGTAACAAATGCCCCTATCGTTTGCTAAAACGGTACTTTACGACATGACCAAGGAAACAAGAGTGAAGACGAAATGCTTTGATATGTGACTTCTTTACTTTTGGTGCTTTTCAGGGAAGTGTATGCCTATCATCTGGTTCTTCCCATACTTTATGGAAAACAGAATTGTGTCACAGCTTCCTGGGATGGTCATGTTGGATTACAAGGTAATTATTTCTTAAAGAGATCTTTGCTGGTTACTGAGAAGCATTTTGTTGGGCCCAACTGTTTAGACAGTTGGCTGTCTGGTGATATTATATTTCTTTAATTTGTGTAATTCTATGAAGAACATTTATTGCTTCTTGGACAATGGTACTGATATTGGTCTAAAATATATGTTTGTTTCATCAATTTCTTCATAACGTTTTAAACAGTCTCATGGACTTGAAATTGAAGTGTCAGTAATGATTTGGCCATACCGTCAAAGACATGTGATATGGCTTTTTGTCTGATCATCTCGATACAGATGTTTAAAAAGTGACAGAATGTTTATGTTGAGCTAAGCCAACTATTTACAGGCCATTAAATGGTTTCAAAGCTGTCTGTAGATAATGTAAGTATTATAGGCTTTTATTGGGTCTGTAAGTTACTTCATTGATTCTTTCATATGTTTCTTTTAAGGTAAAAGATTCCACGTCTTTCCTTTTCTTTCTATGCAGGTTGACTATGAAAATCATGCTCTGTACAAGAATGACCTCAAGCAGAAGGGGTCACCTGTTAGAATATTCACCAACATACCCCAGGCTATGTTTGTTTTACCTGCAGAGGAGGGGTACTGGTAAGGCTTTTCTGTTTCCATTTTGACTTAAAAATTTTTAAAATTCTGTTTTGGAAATTTGTTGACTGGCCTCTTGAAACTGATTTAGGAATTGACATTTTAAATGCTTTTTGAGATGTGTCATAATAACTTGTAATTCAAATCATTTTGTTTTATGGAGGAATTAGTTTTGAGATTGTGTATCTTCATGTACTAATGTGAAATTATCCCTTTTATTTCCCACAGACTGAAAGTCTGCTGGTAATGCATGCTGTATTTGAAATAGTAAATGGTTTGGAGGATTTTACTTGATGCGCATTCGAAGTCCATTTACTTTTTTCACTGTGGCAAAAAGCTCAATGTATTTAAGTACACCAGGTCTTTCATCCATTACATTGAAATATCAGATTCTATTTGTTCATGAGTCTCCATCACTTCTGTCAGTGGTAGGAGTGCCATGTATCTCCGTCAGAGTTGATTGTTTTATTCTCAGCGGAGTTCTACAACATTTTGTTTGCTTCCTTTAGATGGCAAACCTTAGTGATGTAGATATATGTGGCCTACCTCTTCTTCTTCTGCTCTCAACTTTGCTTTACGAACTGTCATTATTAGATTTGCTTTTATGCTTCTGTTTTCATGATCAACATATAAAATCTCAATCTGCTTATCAATTTCAGATAACATTTGTCTTTGTGCTGAGACTTAATCATGAATATTTTGGTTTGGTTTTCTGTCTGATCATTTTACTCTTAGATGATGCCTATGGCTTTACATTTTAGCTAAAACCTTAATTAATTTTGATGGTTTCCAATGTTTAATGTGTCCAAGCTTCCGACCACCAAGCCATTACAGATGAGATTAGTGTATATCAGATTAAGTGTCAAGTTAAGTTGTTAATCATTTTCAGTTATGGAAGCCTTCAGTCTTTTTATGAGAATGATTCATTTAGCTTTCTACTTTTGGTTTATTGACAGGTATTGCTCAAAATGCAATAGATACTCATCCAAAGAAAATTGGCACTGTTCTGATTGTGGAGCCTGTACTTCAAAAGTATGTAAACTAGGACTCGTTAATACTTTAAGAATAATTATGTTGAAATTAACCCTGTGAATCTGAACTCATGTTTGAGCATGTTTGCCTTTTCTTTCTGTGCCCTGAACACATGCCTCAGCATATAGTATTGTTTGTCTTGCAGTTGACCCGAAGGAGCCCATGTGCACAAGTCATGTGGGCTCAGAGAGGGCAAGGTTAAAAGAATATGTTCAGGTGTCCTTTGCTCAAAGTATGGAGCTATAATTTGGAAGAGTACAGGTGGAAATGCATCGCTGTACCCGAACAATGAGTTAAAGAAGAAATTATATTTTTCCTTGTAATGTCTGTATCGTAATTCTTTATTTTTATGAACATTATACTGTGCCTTAATAACTTTTCTACCTGTTTATACGTACTCAATCTTTTATTAATAGGAAAATTATGTGAGTTTAGTATGAAGCAGATGCTTTGATTGTTTTAACCGAAATTGTTATACATTCAAATCCCGTGGTACCGCCTACCTTGGGATGAGCATGAAGTCGGCCACACAACGGATCTGTCTGTACAGTGAGGTTTTCATGTCCTCTGTTAGCCGAGGGTACGAGGTGGTGAGGTTCAGTTAACACACTTGAGCCTCTTCCCGTGTAGTGTATTTACCGGGATGCCCTGCTGGGCCACTTGCCGATTCCCATGTATTTACAGGATGCATTTTATGGATTGATGTGGTGCTTTTTGGTTACAGGTTATGGAAAGTGGCATGCCAACAGTTTACTTAATTGTTTTGTTTTGTTACAAATTTGGTGAAGTTATGTGCGATACTTTTTTAGCTTTAGCTAAGTCAGTCACCCCTGCAATGGGATAGATGATTTTATTACAAATTGGCTGCAAAAAAACAACATTGCGTAACCCCAAGACATTGCCATTTCAAAATATTGATAAAATTCAAACTAATCAGACAAATGAGACGCAGTTTTCTTTTTTTTGTGAGAGCATTTCTTTGTCTTTTGTTGCATTTAAAAAATTATGATAGCTTTCACAGTCAGTGTCAGGCTGCAATGGTTGTTGGGTGGAAAATAGCTCAGGCTCAAGTGAGTTCAAGTTCTTCCAGTTTTTATTCCTATTAATTTTTTACACTGCCTAAAATAATGGCATTTTCATAATCAGCACCTCAAATTTTGTCAGAAGCATGTTGGGAGCGAAATTTGGTGCTGAATTATAAGGTTATGTTTTAATTTAATAGTTCTCCTCTACATTACACAAGAAAATCTATTGTGTTCGCTTGTGACACAATACGTCACTGTTGATCTATTCATATTGCCTGAAATCTGCAAGGCAAGGGTGAGGAGGTGGGATGGGCAGGGAGGGAGCAAATCATCAGCGAAAAGCGTTTAATCTTGACTGAGGCCTAGCTTGCAGAGACTTGTGTGTGAAACTTCCCCAACTCAAAAGATGCACTAAATTCCCTGAGTAGAAGAGAACAAGTCATGATCTTTCGCCTGCGAACACAACACATCCCACTAAATTTCTACCTTTATAGGATCCGCAAGGATACCCCACCTGACTCCCCGTTATGCGACTGCCAGGATGAAACAGTACCACACCTCCTCTTTAACTGCCCTGCACTTTGCGACCTGCGTAGCACCTACCTACGTGCCTCCCCAGACATCGGAAATACTCTATACAAGGACAAAGCACAGCTGATTAAAACCTGTAAATTCTTTGCCATATCGACAGACCGAAGGGCTAGAACCCAAATGGCCACTGGATCCGAAAAGTAAAAGTAAAGTAAAGTGTGTGAAACTTCATCTAAGTCAAGCAACCACTGAGTGGATGTGCCATGGGCCATCTATAGCCTAGTGTGCACTGTATAGCCTAGTGTGTACTGTGTACTTCTGGCGGCCAGTTCGCTGGCGGTACAGTGGGGTAAATTTGCAGTAGTTTAATATGAACTGTACAACTGAGACAGTTGGCGGATGGCGGTGTAAAGGCGCAAAGACTATGTTTATACAGGGGATTCTTTTCATATATTGGCAAAACCTGGCGGTAAGTGGGGCTGGTGATACGGGGGGGGGGGGGGGGGGTGTGTTGTACAATCTATGTTTCAAATATTACTTTTTCCCCCTCCTTGATCTCATTTTGAATGGATTTAACTGTCTGTTGCCACAGTCTGCTTGTGGGTTAGGGTTTTTTCCCACCTTTCATTTTGCATCTTACTAACAACAGGCCATGACATACTTTATGCAAAAGTTTATACTGTTGATTGAAGGGCCACTGCTGGTTGGTCCAACTTCTTAACTACCTCTCTGTTGTTTAGTCTGTCTGTTGCACTTTTCCCTAAAACTATAAGTATTGTTTTGATATGCTTCTCTTGGCTCAAACAAACAAAAGCAAATGTTTTTCTTTTCTATTTCATTATATATGTTTTTCTTTTATTTCTTTTAGGATGGAACTACATATGTTCATTGTGATGCGTGTTTGAGGTGTGTGAAGCCATCTCGTGTTCATTGCTACACTTGTCAGATATGTGACCTGAAAGATCACGTGTGTGGGAAAAAGCACATGTTTGGTGAGTTGTTATTCAAATGGGGGAAATATATTTGTTTTGTGACATCCAAGGCTGACTTTTTTTTTATTTGTTACACACTTCTGCCTTGAACTCTTACTGAGCACATGCCACCAGAAAGCTGTCTCTATGTGTCACAGTTCTGGGCTAGTTTTACCTGCTGTCTCCAGGAATATCCTGTCCCCTTTGTACATCAATGACAAACTTTCTTACTGTATCTTATGTTGATCTGATATCAACCAATTGCTTTTGTATGACCTGAACGTGGTGTGCTCTCCTACTTCTAAATACAGACTTCAACATACGTTAAGGACCACCTTGACAGACAGCCCTCATTTTTCTTTAAAATCCGGAAAAAAAGAAAGCAAGGAATGTTTCAAAATTTTTTTCTCTGAAAGTGTAAATGGATTACCAATGCGTACTGCAGAGTTTCTAAAGTGGCAAAACCATCACGTGCAGCATGGAAATCCTCTGGGAATTTTAGCCAAATTTACTATTTTTTGTCAACTTATGTACCTCACCACAGACGTTCCTCAGTTAAAATTTCTGGTGCACATCATAAATGGATGTGCGGTCTCGAACTGTACTCACTTTGGTGGCAGTATATGTCACCGTTTGCGCAAAATTCAGTATCGCATCAACATGCCATCAAGACGAAAGCTTTGAGACTTTGATCATGCCAGAGCTATGGCATAGCTGCAAGATGGAGTTGGACCTGGGAAGTTGCCAGAATGCTTGCAGTGTTACACTATTTCGTTGTCTGCCTGAGGCAGAGCCATCAAGCCACTGGATCAGTCCAAGAAGGCCCACGTGCAGGTCCACCCAGGAAGACCACTCAGAGTGTTTGCAGGTGGTCCTTAACTTATGTTGAAGTCTGTAGATGCTGATGAAGTCTATGTCTCGCCAACATTGCTTCAGAACTTTGTGGTATTTTTAGTGACGTAGAAGACATTACAATTATGACTATATTTGTGTTCTCCGGGTATCGTTTCATGAGTAGTCAAAAAGCAACAAAATAATGCCAACATATTTGTATTTTTCAGTCTTTGAAAAGTGTTGTTTTGGTTGTTTCTATTGGAATTGGTTATTTTATTTGAACTGAGACCGAGAAGTGACTGTTCACTTTAGTGAAAATACCACAAATAGCAATATTAAGGATTCAAATCATAGTGACATTCTATCAGGTCTGTAAATACCAAACCAGTCTCACCCTAAAACACTCAGAATTTGCCAGATTTCAGTGTCCACATTTTCCCACCTTACACCCTGCTATTAAAACTAACCCCCCTTTTCTCAATACAAGAGTGTGAGTCACTCCTAGCTCTTAAAAACATACTGCGTACAATCATTACTACTTTGAGAGGTAATTTTATATATATCCTTATTTTTTGTTTCTTACCTTCAGGCTGTCACATATGTGGTGATCTCAGCCACAAACGAAGGGACTGCCCACAGAAGACAGATAAAGGAGGCTTTCAAAGAGGTGGTAAAATGTGAGTTTTCTTCGATGACAAGAAATTGAGAAGTTTAAGGTTTTAGCTCGGACTGCTTTTTTTTCATTCCTTGTATAAATGGCTGATACTGACATGTTATCTGGACGTATTAACTATTTTTAGTAGTCTAGAGCCCATGTATATTACATTATCTAGGCTATTTGTCTTAAAAAGAGTATGTCCTGGGATTTTAAATATTTTTTATGTTATTCTCTCATTTTGTTTTTCTTGGTTTCTTTATATATATTTTTTCTAAATGAGAAGAGAAAATACAAGTTTGTTATCTGAAATTGGTCAGGCTTTTTTCCTATGTTGCCTTTGATAGCAGAATAAGTTTTTTTGATTGCAATTTTGATTAATTAAAGAAGCTAAAATAACTGTATGCTGATGAAGTTCTGAAACTAGTGACTTTAATTGAAATGTAGAAATGCATGGTTCAATCTGTTTTTTTCTTAAAACTGTAATTATTGTCTGGGCCCTGTAGAGATTTGGGTAACATGAAATTTTATCTTTCTTTCATTTTCAGTTCATGCAAAAGGAAATTTCACTCCTCTGGAAAAGTTAAAGAGAAAGCAAAAAAGACAAAAATTGTATGATGTTGTGAGTCGGCCTTCAGAGACTGGATGTCAAGAGAACAAGGTCTCCTCCCACTGTTTTGTGCTCAAACTCAAGGAGTTCTTTGCAGCAGTCTGACTAGAGTAAAGATATTTATTCATTACTTAAACACTTTAACCTATTATCGAATAAAAATATAATAAGAAAGCTTTGTAATTACCGTGGACAAGTGACCAGTCAAATTTTCACTTTGGGATATTTTGATCGACCAAATTCTCCAAACCACTGCCGTTTTCAAACTTTGCTGCCTATCGAGACCATCTTTGTTGTGAACATGGGATTCATGCCAGTGCGTCAAGGGAGTTTGGTTTCTGTTTGGAAAATGAAACAAGACCTGACTGAGTTATATTTACTTTATAAGGAAAGTGGCCGCATAGTTTGGCCGGTTGCAAATAGTGCCTTTACTCTAGATGATGATAAACTGCACTCTTGTCATTTTGGTTTGTGAAATTATCTATCCTTTCCCTCCCCCCCCCCCCTCCTTTCTTCCACGCTATTTTATTAAAGTAGATCTTTTTTTTTTTTTCTGGTGTAAGAAATTATTTCGAACAATTGTTATGTGGAAGTTCTTACCTGTTTGTGGTTACTTATGACTCAATAATGGCTATTTAGTGCAGGAAAAAGCAAGGTAGACACACAGAAACAACAGAGGAAAAGAAAAGAAGTGGTGCCCTCCAAGAACCAACGCTTAAGCTTTGATAGAGATAGTTTTAAGTTGCTATACTTTGTGGTCTTGTGTAAGTTAGCCTACCAGGTCAATAGCGTTTATCTGCTAAATTATGTTTTGAAAAATTAGAATTTTACCTGACACATGAATATGTTTTATTGTATGTACGTATGTGTTTAGGGGACAGTATGTCTGACTTTGTTGAGCATGTGTTTTGTGAGGGCTTGGTTAACTTAAGCATACAGGTGTTTATAGTGAAACTGGCATGGCTGTATAATAAAAAAGTCCAGTCCGACCTTCAAGTTTGTTGAGTCCAAGTGTTTGTGATAAGAAAAATGTGATTTAAGTGAGCGTTTTTTAATCAATGATGATGGGGGTCATCTGATCTGATCATGTCACAGTGTTGATACAAACGGAGAATACTTGTTGGGCCCAAAGCTACTTGCTTATATTCCTAGCATGCTCTAGATAATGGCTTATGTTGAAAATTTAGATGGTGCTGCAAAATACACCGTACTTTGCCAAAGTGCACTTTACTTTACTTTGACTTTTTCATCCCCTGTTGCTGTTAAGCGTCAAAGGGTGATGCAGTTTTCTATGGTAGGCCAGCTCCGCAGCTCTTTCAGTTGTGATACTATGTTTTCTCAGGGTTTCTTTGACACCCTCCCTCAATCCACCTTTTGCGTGACCTTCCTCTTCTTTTATAGCCTGAGTGCTTGGTGTTGTAGGTTCTCGAGGCTGGCTCGCCAGGTGGCCAAACCATTTTATTCTCTATCTTTCTATGAATTGCAGCCTGAAGTCAGTGCCAATAGCTGCTCTTACTTCTTCATTTCTCTGCCTGTCTCGTCTTGTGATGTTAAGGGTTTTGCGGAGCCATTTCATTTCGCATGCAGTGGTTTTGCTTTCTCTTTCATAGGTTTTACTTAAAGTTAATGTCCAGGTCTAGCACTGGTAGCATAATGTTGGTATGAATATATGGAAGCGATAAGCTGTCTCTTTGTGTCCATGGAGATTGCCAAAGTGTATCCTGTGTAAAAAAGCAGCTTTGTTCAAATGTGTGCCTGTGTCATGTGATGTATCTTTTGCCAAACAAGTTGTGTTGCAGTGTGTGGGGACTTGCTTTCAAGTTTGATTCCAACAGTGACTTTGTGGAGGCCAAGTTTGCTAATTTGTGTGTTCCTGAAATACTGATTATTTTGTTGATTTTAAAGAAAATTAAAACAGGGAATCGTTCTTCTTTTGTTGAGTCAGATTTTTTTGTTGAATCTAACTTAGTTGTATCTGTGTTTCATTGTGTTTATTGACTTTCACTACAGGTTTCTCTGATTTCATTTGATGCTTGGGACCATAAAATTACTTTAGGATTCTTATCAACTTGACAATGTTGAAACAGGACAGCACTGTTTTAGTGACTTCAAGTATTAGAATAAGCAATACAACTAATAATTTGTACACATATGCACTGACTCAGTGAGGGTAATTCCTTTGCCAGGGAAATAGGGTCACACAGTAGATTAGAATGACAGACTAATGAAACCAATATGACATATGAAGTTGTGTCAGAACTCCCATTATTTGAAAGTCCTCTCCTGTTGATGATATCCCTAGTAGTAGTAGGCCTACTTTGTGAGTTTGTTTCTACAGTCTAGCACGCACATAGTGAAACTGATGGGGATTGTTGGAATCTTTTTATTTTAATATGAGAATTTTGCTATGTACATGTACGGTACATGTTTTATAAAGTTTTGAATACAAAGAAATTACTGTAGGCTACATGTCGTGTATAAGAGAGTTCGGGACCTGAAAATCTGTTTGCTGTGTGTGTGCTAGACTACATTTGAAATTGTCAAAGACTACCACCCATTGTTGAGAAGAAAACAGATTAGAGTAGACTGGTGAATGTCTTACACAGTGTCACTATATTTTTTTAAATGCAGGGGAGGGGGTAAGCGGCCGTTTTGTACAGGTGATTACATGTATCTTGTCTAGGAGGCAGTTAGAGCAGGTTCGTCTGTATTTTGTAACTCTAGGTAATAGATTACATAATTTGAAAGTGAAAGCCTTTGCTTGCAGTTGGAGGTTGGTTTAGACACCAAAAAAAATCTGGTGTTCTTGGAATCAGAGTTGTGCGTTCCACCATTGCACGGATGAGATTCAGTTTGTCGTGGCTTTTTTTAAAACTGGGGGCTCTGTGAACTTTTCTGCCCAATCAAGCCTAGCGCGGGTGATTGGAGGGCACACTGGTAGGTCCTGCTTCTTTACTTTCCCTCTGTTGTTTCTGTCTGTCTGTCTGTCTGACTGACTTTTCCCCACTAAATGACCATTATTGTGACGATGTGCTTCTCTTTACTCAAATAAACAAAACCAAGTCTAGGGGGTTGTAGTTGTATTTAGGATGTCTGTCCTGCGCCTGCTACTTGCAGTGTATGGCATGTACCTCACACGAGTTTTGATCTGGCCTGGTTTCTCCTGGCCTTCCCGTAGCGTTATCCATCCCCTGTTCGTGCAGTCACGATCCCTGCCATCAGCACCTGACTTTCTGATCTTTACATTATATATATATATATCCTGTTGCCATGGTAGATGTGATATA